TTTCTGAATTTACATGAACATCAAGTCCCACAGCAGATTGTACATCTCCATTGGCAGTGTCCCGCCTGTCTCCCAGATGGTGAGCTATAGAGTCATACAGCATGGAAATACGCCCTTCGGCCCAACTTGTCCATGCTGACTAGGTTTCCAAAACTGTACCAGCCCCAATAGCCTATATCTCTCTAACCCTTTCCTTTCATTGTCCCTGTTCAAATGTCTTTTAAATGTTATAATTGTACCCGCATCTACCAATTCCTCTGGCAGCTTGTTTCATACATGCACCACCCTCTGTGGGAAAAAGTTCCCCCTCAGGTCCTTTTTAAATCTTTCCCCTCCCACCTTAAACCTATGCCATCAAGTTTTGGACTCCACTGCCCTGGGGAAAAGACCTTTGCTATTCACCCTATCCATGCCCCACATGATTTTATAAACCTTTATAAGGTCACCCCTCAGCCTCAGATGCTCCAGGGAACAAAGTCCCAGCCTATCCAGCACCTCCTTATAATTCAAACACGGTAAGGCCACGTTTGAAGTACTGTGTTCAGTTCTGGTCGCCCTGCTATAGAAAGGATGTTATTAAACTGGAAGGGTGCGAAAAAGATTGACAAGGATGTTCCTGAGACTGTAGGGTTTGAGTTATAAGCAGAGGCTGAATAGGCTGGGACTGTTTTCCCTGGAGCGTAGGAGGCTGAGGGGTGACCCAGATCTTGGTTTAAGGAGGTGGGTGCAAAATGGAGTCAGGCTCACTGATCCCAAAGGCAAGATTGGAAGGGGCTGCCATGTTATGAGGCAGGCTGTTCAAAAATCCTGACTCCATTCCTTTGGTTTATTAAACATTGGGTCTTCCAGCCACACTCCCTATGCCAATCCTTGCCAATTCATGACTCCATCCACCCATAGAGCTCCTTCCGTGCCAATCCATGATTCATCATCCCAATGGCTCTTATAGCCTCTGTGCTAGCTTAATGCCAACTCATGACCTCAAACCCATTTTCATCTGCCCTTTTAAGCCCTAACACCAATTCACCGAGTATTTACTGTGGGCTGATCTCAGGGGCCTGTTGGGATGAAATGAAGTTCTAAATATCTGTTACAGAGTTCACTAAAATACCACATTCAAGAAGTCATTGAGGACTTTAAACCCTCATCAAAACACACAGATTTGTATTCATAGCCCCATAGCCCATTCTTCATTGACCTCTTTGAGCTGACAATCAAAATGTGGGCTTGCAATCCCCCGCCATGATGTGGTTTGCAGATACAACAAGCAGTAATACTGCTGTAATGATGGCATTTGCAATTGTGCAAGCCTACAGCTATTTAAATGATGGAACAGTTTGTTTTTCAACTAACAGCTACAGGCAAGCAGTTTATCTCAATTTTTAAAGTGCTGACCATTTGAGTAACTCGATCATTCTAAGGATCTTATCTGTCCTTCAGGAGGTATTTACAACTTCTGTAAAGACCAGAAACCTTGAATTGCAGGATTAAACTCTTGTTTGAATTTAGACCTTACACATGTGCGACTCATTTCCTGCCTCCTACTCCCCCATTGACCCGTCACCTTCCGCACCCCCCCCACCCTCAAACCATCACAGCCCAACTAGGAATACCCAATCCCACCAACCCCCCAACAATCCAACTGGAATTACCTTCTCCCCCTGGTGTGGCTGTCACTTCTACCCCTAGACCGCAATCTCCCCGGCAGCCTCCTATTCCCGGACCCAGCCTCGGGTTTTAAAACATACAGATAGCTTGACTGGGTAGATGTGGAAAGGTTGTTTCCGCTCGTGGGAGAGGGTAGGACTAGAAGGCTTCATCTCAGGATAAGGGGTCATCCATTGAAGACAGAGATGAGGAGGAATTTCTCCTCTCTGAGGGTAGTGAATCAGTGGAATTCCTTACTGCAGAGGGGTTTCATGGCTGGTCATTAAGGATGTTCAAGGCTAAGATAGACAGATTTTTAATCAGGAAGGGAATCCAGGGTTAGGGGGCAAGCACAGGAAAGTGGAGTTGATGGGTATTAGTTTAGATATGATTGTATTGAATGGTGGAGCAGACTGTTTTTTTCATAGAATCCCTACAGTGTGGAAACAGGCCCTTTGGCCCAACAAGCCCACCCTGACCCTAGGCCCATTCCCCTATAACCCACCTAATCTAAACATCCCTGAACACTATGGGCAATTTAGCATGGCCAATCCATCCTAACCTGCACATCTTTGGACTGTGGGAGGAAACCGGAGCACCTGGAAGAAACCCACACAAATGCGGGGAAAATGTGCAAACTCCACACAGACAGTCGCCCAAGGCTGGAATCGAACCCTGTGAGACAGGAGTGCTAACTACTGAGTTACAGTGCTGATGGGCTGTATGGCCTACATATGCACTTTCACCTTATAGGAGGAAAATAGACCTCCGATCACAAGAAGGGAAACATTTTACTTGAAATGCAAGGCCCCCACTCGGCCCATCATCTAAGCAGATTAAATGTCAGGAAATTCCACCATTCAGATGTTGATTTTAAAATCTCACTTGATAGAGGAGTGGTGCAGTATTATGAAATTTCTGACCTTTCTGCTCTGATCGAATATTGCTATCTTGAAAAGAGCCAGTGCAAAATCATCAGTGCCACACATTATAGTAACACAGGGTTCCTGCTGACTGATATCAGAACTGGGATCAATGCACCACGCTGCTTATTTTTGTCTGTGAAAGAGCTTATGCTTGGCAAGATAGCTTAAACTTCAATGAGTGAAATGGTGTTTTTAAAGTGATTTAAAAGGGCTAATGTTGGTCAGGTCATTGATATTGTACATTGAGCCTTTGTTTATTGAGTGGATAGAATACACCAATTTATATTGCATATTTTACAAAAGCATGAAGTTTATACATTGAATTATCTATTGCATCTTCATCATAGTCTTTACCTCAGGTCTTTATTCATTTCTCCCAGTTCCTCCATCTCAGTTGCACCTGTCCTGATTTTTTTAACTTGGAAAAGGGTGCCTCTGACATGTCCACCTTGTTCCTCAACTGAGGATTCCACAGCACTGTTGTTGACAGGGCCTTCAGCCAGGTGTGGCTGTGTCTTGTGCTTCAGTCCTCATCCACTTCTTTCCCTTACACAACAGCGATGGGTCACCTTTGTCCTCACCCATAGCTTTAAATTGAGGGGTGATAGATATAGGACAGATGTCAGAGGTAGGTTCTTTATTCAGAGAGTAGTAAGGGCGTGGAATGCCCTGCCTGCAAAAGTAGTAGACTCGCCAACTTTAAGGGCTTTTAAATGGTCATTGGATAAACATATGGATGATAATGGAATAGTGTAGGTTAGATGGGCTTCAGATTGGTTTCACAGGTCGGCGCAACATCGAGGGCCGAAGGGCCTGTACTGCGCTGTAATATTCTATGTTCTATGTTCAATGTTGTATCCTGTGGGATGCCTTGGAACGAATCCCAGTCATCATTCCTTATTGTATCAGTCCACATTATTAATGGCAATTAGGGAAGGATGTCCAAAAACTGACTTTGACAGAGGAGAGCCTCATTCTTGAGAAACAGTAAAGATTTATTACATAATACTCAATAGCTAGTTTGCTTGGCAGGAATTTTCCAATGGCCTCACAGACGTTATTCTGGTGTGGATCAGAGTTGTCTGTGGGGGGTGTATCCCTGAGGGGAAGCTCTTGTTTAGGCCTCACCCAGAGTATTATATTCAATTGTTGGCACCCACTTAAAAAGGATACATGAGCCTTGGAGGGGAGTGCAGTGTTGAATTAGCAGAATGATTCTTGGACTACCAAGGGGTTAAATATTTTTAAAGCACTTTTAAACCCTTGACCACAACTGCCTGGAAAAAAAGAGCAGCTGGTGCTTGGGAGGACCATCACCTCTAAGATCTCCTCCAAGTCAGACGCCATTCTGAATTGGAAGTACATCGCCATTCCTTTAGTGTCACTGGGTCAAGTCCTGGAATTCCCTCCCTAACAGCATTGTGGGTCTGTCTACACCAATTGGACGACGGCAGTTCAGGAAGGCATTTACCACCACCTTCTCCAGGGCAGTTAGGGATGAGCAATAAATAGTGGTGCAACCGTGCGATGCTCATTCATGGGAATATGAGCAGTAGGAAAAATTACAACAAGCAATTACAAAACCTAAGGTTGTATTTTCCGGAGTATAGAATTTAACGAGTAAGTTATTCAAAACTTTTCAAAGTGTTGAAGGAACTGTTGGGCCAGTGGAGAGAGGCTATTCCCTCTTGGGAGTTGTATATCTAGGGCACTTGGCCTAAAGGATAAACATGGGTTTTTCAGGATTCAAATTGGAAAATAATTCCATGTGCAGGAAGGGACCGGATAGAGTGGAGATGGAGAAATGGTTGCCATTGACAGAAGGGTTTGCATTCAGAGGGCACTAACGTGGGGTGAAGGGCAAGGCAGGAGTATGAAGAAACCCTGTTTAATGCAGAACTGACTGAATGAAGGAATGAATCAGTTGTCACTTGTACTGGACAACGAACAACACAAGAAAATATAGTGAGAAGCTTCAATTGTTGCCACAATCCAGCACCACTGCGAATGGTTTAAGAATAAACAGATATAGCTGAAAGAGAGTCCGTCTTCATTCTGCCGTCTCCACCATGAGCCCTGAGCCAGCTGACCAACGACACCTACGCTACCACCCCTCTGCCGCCTGGGCCAGACCCACCAATGTCAGAGTCTCCAGTCTTCAGGCACCATCTCATCGTGGCTGGGTGCATCTTGCCAACAGGGCCACTGATGCCAGGTCCCATACTAGACCCACACTCGCCCCACAATCACTGGATGACAGCGCTTAAGAGCCTTTCATTCTTGGAATGTGGGCAGCGCTTACAAGATCAGCGTTTCTTGCCCTGTCCCTTTGTTGTGACCTTTTCTCAAAACTGAAATGCGTTTTATTTTGTGTGTGTGCTAACAGATCATTCCACCGATACCTTCTGTGTGTTTTTTTTCCCCCAGGTGACCTTCAGCAAGTCGAGAAACCTGAGGGACTGCTGGACTAATCGGAGCCACCTTGAGAAATGTCTCCTGGTTCTCACTGCCATCCTGGTGCTGCTGCTGTTCTCCATCGTCCTCGCATTCATCTTTAAATACGAACGTAAGTCCTTGAAAGTGGAGCAAAAATGATCACAGTCGAGGCAGGCAATAGGAAGTGAAAGAGGCCATTCAGCCTCTCGGATCTCCAGTTCTACTAAGCTGGATCAGGGGTGAGGTTATAGCCTTGCTCACTGACCCGGTAACGTCGTTCAGAGCGCCCCCTGGAGAAGCAGGCTGACAAAACATCTGCACGCAAACCCACCGGCTCAGTGAGCAAGTCTTGCAACGTCCTTGTCCACAACCTGAGCTACAAATCTTCTCGAGAAAACTTTTGGATCGGGTGGGGGTGGGCAGCCTTTTCATGGTGTGGTCTGGGGTGGGTCACATTTCAAGGTGTCTCTTCCTCGAGTTTGGGGGGTGGTGTGTGCCAGTGAGCAGACTTCCGAAAGGTGATGGCTGCCGCAGCAATAAACGTGAACTTCTTCGAAAGAATTGCAAACGCAATAAATTGATCGCTTCAAACGAGTAATTGATAGAAACGACCATTAAAAAGTGTTCCACGGCAAAGTTTATTAATGAAGCCAGTTCTTGCTCTTTGGTTGAGAAGGCAGAGGAAGAACCAGCCCCACGCCACATTGGAAGGTTGTGGTAACTAGGTTGAGCTGTGGAGCTCAGTTACACTAATGCCTCCCAGGGAGGTACAGTCTGAGCTGGCCTTAGCCCAATTCACAGTAAGTGGGAATCACAGGGAAGTTGCTTTTCAGCCTGCTTCCCCTCTCCCACACTCTTAGCCCTTTCCCTCATTCTCTCTTCCCTGCCCACCCCCCCTCAATAATTCTTTCTTTCCCCTCTCCCTCTACTTAATCTGCACCGCCACCTCCCCCCGCGCCCCCTCCCTCCCCCCCCCCCCCCCCACCCACCTTTAACTGTAAGAAAATAATCCATGGGGCTTTGCTGTCCGAGAGTCTCCCCCAGCCCCGGCATTACTCTCCCACCATCAAACGCTTTGCATTGAAAGGAATGCAGCCAGGTTTTTTCACTCCAGAAAGATCTCCCCTCTTTTTATTTAAAAGTGAAATCAAAGAGAAATTAGCAGGAGCGATCCAATGGCCTAACTATCAATCCCCAATCACAGTCATGGCCTAACCAGTAGTTCCCTTGTCTCTGTCTGATTCTCACTGCCTCCTCCCTGTGGTGTGGTTCTCATCTCCAGTGCCTCTTCCCCACAGTCTCCCAGAGACACTCCTATTCTCAGGCCTGACCTCCGTGATGGGCTTCAAGCCTCGTGTCGCTCGGGATTCCCCAGGCCTCAAACCTTGGGTGCTCTCCTCCAGGCCTCAGGCCACCCATAGCCTGGCTCTGTCCTGCATTTGCTGCTGATAGGCTCTCCATGAGCCCACTCCTCCAACTGGAGGAACAGCTCCTTGCGAAACCATGCTCTTACATAAAACTCTGGGTTTGAATAAAGCATAAATACAACCTGTCCACAAACAGTAAACAGTAAACTTTCATGTTACAAGGCTGAGTGGGTTTGTATGGAACCTCAGGTTTGTATGGAAAGTACACTTTCCCAACAGATAACTCTTGATCTATTTGTTAGCTTGTGTGGCAAGGGTCTAAAATGGCCAGCAGAATGTTTCACATTGGAGGTGAGGTTTATTTCAGTTAGGTAAGAGGATTAAGGGTTCCAGAACCAAGGTGGCTAAATGGAATTAAAATATAGATCGGCCACGATTGGATGAGCACCTGAGGGCAATTGAAGTACAGGGATTGAGTGGGGATATGGTCCTTGTTGGAATGCCTTCCAGAGGGCTAGCATGGTTTTGAAGGGCTGAATGACCTCCTCGTTGTTCTGACTCTGTGTCGATGGGGTTAATGGTGGTGCTGGTTCTGGGACTCCAATTCCCATGACTGGTTTTCACTGCCATCAGCCTTTCCAGGAATCCTGGAAGTCGGTCAAAGGGTAGGGAGAAAAGGTTAAAGAGAAGTTCTGGGAATTTTCTTGGGGATTTTTTCCAATCGGCTGCCAGCCCCGCTGGGCCAAGACGCTCACGAAAAGTCTGTTTTCCTCTGGGATCTGAGTTCGTTTCCCACCAGTGTAATCAGGACAACCCATGTCATAATGAGTCAGTATTGAACTTACTACTGGTGAAACAGGGTCATGTTCTACAGTGTGCATTACCTCATGGAGTTTGGGCTCTCGTGCTGCAGTAGTAGTGTCCCAGTCTCTGAGCCAGGAGATCCCAGTTCAATCCTAGTAGGCATGCTATAATATCACTGAACAAGTTCATTAGAAAATGTCTACCTCGTGGATTAAATGAACTCTCACCAGCAGTGAGCAGGGTGGCTCAGTGGTTAGCACTGCTGCCTCACAGCAGCAGGGACCCAGGTTCGATTCCACCCTCAGGCGACTGTCTGTGTGGAGTTTGCACATTCTCACCTTGTCTGCGTGTGTTTCCTCAGCCCAAAGATATGCAGGCTAGGTGGATTGGCCATGGGAAATGCAGGGTTACAGGGATGGGGTGGGTCTGGGTGGGTCTGGGTGGGATGCTGCTCAGAGGGTGAGTGTAGACTCGATGGGCTGAATGGCCTGCTTCCACACTCTAGGGATTCTGTAATGATGAACAGTGTGAGCCTTGTTCAGTGTAAAATTATCAAACATAAACCTGTAAATGTAGTGATTATTGCTTTCAATGACAGGTAAGGCAGTTAAAATAATTGAACCTTTGAGTCTCCCTGTGACGGTGCTGGCTGTACTTAGTGGTACATTGTCACTGACAGCAGAATAAAACTGTGGAGCAGTCTGTTGTGGTTCATTCTTTGTGGATCCCGAGAGGGATTTCTCAGAAGGAGAGCAGTGGGCTGTTTACCCCATTCCCATCACGGGGCTCAGTAGGGAGCAGGGGAATGACATCACACGGTTAAAGGAGACAGCTCACCACCACCTCAAACCAAATAGGGATGGAACATGAACACTGACCCAGTCATCGATGCCCACATCCCATCTATGTATAAAAAGAACAAGGTGGAATGGCTCCCACTTCAAGGAGGGTCAGTAATTGGAAGAAAATTGACATCAAGAGAATTCTCTTTGAGCTGGAATGCCTGATTCAAAAGGGAAATATTCTTAAAAAGGTGCAATTTGCAGATGAAAGAAGAACAGGAGATTGGGACTGACTGGATAGTTTATCATAGAGGGCTAGCAGACACAACGGGCTGAATGGCCTTGCTCCACAAACAAAGGACGGCCAACCTTTCTGGAAGGTGCTGACTATCCCCAGCCCCAAATCTATCCCTGTGCAAAAACTCTGAGGTATAGCTCATCGTTGGTCACCACTGAGCATTTGCAGTCTACATCACCACTTCAAACGGAAGTCTTTGAGGATAAATCCACAGTTTGTTACAAAACCATCCACTTATAGTCACATTTGAGCTTATAGTGTAGAGAAATGGCCCACTGGCTTTCCAAAGGTTAAAGGATAAACTGAGCATTACACTAAGGAAAAATGCTGTTGCCGAATGAAAGTGTATCTGTAAGCTAGAATCCCTACTGAGTTGAAGCAGGCAATTCAACCCATAAAGTACTCCGACCCTCTGAAGAACATTATCTCTAGTCACATGAGAGAGAATCAGATGAAACACAGGCACCCCTCAGAACCAGAATGTGACAGCTTTCACTTACACAGGATGTTCTATCCACCCTAGGAGTTCAGAACAAACAGCAACTTCCAATGCTGTCTCTCAGACCAATACCAGTTGAATCAATGACAAGGTCATTGCATTGGTATTCTGAAAGGTTGCAATCAGATGGAGCACTTAAGTTTGACCAAGCCCATGATGAAAGCCACCTTATGGCTCTTGCTTTGTGACTGGAGTGATGAAAGCCCCAAAGTGTTGCTGGGTGAAGTCAGTCTTTCACCAATGTTTAATCCTTTCCCTCCCACGAAGGGAGCCCCAGAGGATTGATACAGAACAAAGAGACTTCCAGCGAATTAGTCACTGTGTTCCAGATATAACAGCACATTCAACTTACCACAAAAATGTTAAATACCAGGAGTGTGTATTTAACCCCATGTCCTTTGTGATTATGCTGTTCAAGGGGAAGTGTCCTGGTGCCTGTCCATGCCCACCAGCTGTTTGAGCACATAATCCAGGCTGCAACATCTGAATACAGAGCGAGTGCTGCCCTGTCAAGAGATGGACAAGAGGCTAAGATAAACCTGAGGGATTGTCTGCGTCTATGGGGAGGTGTGAAAGATCCCATTTGAAGGAGAAATCGCCCAACGTCTAAGTCAGTGTTTCTTATTGGCCACCGACATGTCAGATTGTCTCATCTTTTATCTGTGTAGCTGTGGGATCTTGCTATGCATGGATTAGCTTTCACATATCGAGCAATTCTGCTTCAACAACTGTCTATGAAAGGCCTTTCTTTTAGATATTTGGAACTCATGAAAGGAGTATTATAAATGCAGTTCCTTTTTGTTTCTTGAGAATGGATCAGGATTAGTAATCGAGGAAGCCAAGGTGATTTGTTGAGCGCCGCAGGGTCTAGTAGAAGAGAATGAACAAATAATTGGAACTTCAGATTGAAAGGACAGCAACAGGGGGTGGCACGATGGCTCAGTGGTTAGCACTGCTGCCTAACAGCGCCAGGGACCTGGGTTCGATCCCAGCCTCGGGCAACTGTTTGTGTGGAGTTTGCACATTCTCCCCATGTCTGTGAGGGTTTACTCTGGGTGCTTAAGTTTTCTCTCAAAGTCCAAAGATGTGCAGGTTAAGTGGATTGCTAAATGTGAGGTTGTGGGATAGGGTAAGGGGGTGGGTCTGGGTGAGATGGTCTTCGGAGGGTCGATGCAGACTCGGTGGGCCGAATGGCATCTTCCTGCACTGTAGGGATTCTGTGAATCCACGTCATGCGAGATGGGACATCCAGTTGAACCTAGTGTTTTCCCACTTCAATCCTGCTTGAGATTAACTACGTGATGTCAGGGAACATCAGGCTTTCTTGCCAACTTAAGTTCTTTGCTTCGTTTGCACCAAAAGCCTTCAGCCACCCCAAAG